GGGACCACTCCACAGCCACAGCCTGGCAGCCGCCTGGCAGTGCTCAGCACTGAGTATCTTTAGCCCTGGCCTCTCTGCCCAGCCCCTCTGTTCAAGGAGCAGTGAGTGACTGCTTGCCCAGAGTCAGAGACCAAGAGGGGGTGACTCTGAGGGACAGTGGGCACAGCAACACTGTGGTTTCAGCCCTGGGGCCGGGCCACACGGAACCTCAGCTCCCAGGCCTGTGCTTCCCTCACCCTCTGCCAAAGCTCAGCCTGTTCTAAGGGACCCCCACCACCTCCACCCCTAACCTGTCCCCCAGCCTAGCCAGTTGCCCTCAGAACAAGGGATAAGCTCCAGAGAGGAAACTCGAGAGTGGGCCAAAGGCCACAGAGCCTGGATTTCAATCCCCAACACCCACACCAGCTATGTAGCCCTGGAAGATGTGCTTAACCTCTCTGAGCCTCAAGTGCGTCATCTGCAAAATGAGGAGAATATCAGCATCCATTTCAGGGACTGCAAAGATGTCTGCCAAACACACAGCACTTCCTGGCCCATGGCCACAGCAACTCCTTAAAGGGCCTTCAGAGCAATCGACAACCCGATGAAGCAAGCTGAGTAGGGAAACGCCCAGAGGCTTCCCAGAGACAGAATCGGAACCTAAGACCAGGTTTCTTGTTTAAGCCTGTATTTTGCAGGTGAGGAAACTGAGGCCCACGGGGCCCTGGGAAGTTCCTATCTACAGAGGCAGTAGATAGTGCCTGTCATGGCGTCTACCTGGGCCTTGAAACTCCTCCCATAACTGGCCTAGAGGACAAGCAGCCAAGGTGACTCCCCAATCCCTGTCCGGTGAAGCCTGTCAGGCTGCGTCCCTCTGGCAAGCCAAGGCTGGTTTGACTCTGGGGCCTCTCCCCTGTGCTCCTGGTCCTCTCCCATAATGTTCCTGGCCCTCCCAGCTGCTCTAGGTCCCCTCCCAGAATGCTCCCAGCCCTCCCAGCTGCACCCTGTCACTCTCCCAGAATGCTCCCGGCCCTCTCCCAGAATACTCCCAGCCCTCCCAGCTGCTCCCCGGACCTTTCCCAAAATGCTCCCAGCTGCTCCCCACTCCTCCCAGCTGCTCCCTGGCCCTCACCAGCTGCTCCCAGACCCTGACCAGTGAGCAGTCAGGGTTCTCCAAAGGAGGCCCCTTCCCCAGGTTCCATGCCAGCTGCAGAGGCTTTGGTGGGCGCCTTC